TTTTCTAAGCTTGTGCCTCAGAACAGCAAGGCGTTTAGTCCACCAAGGCACTGATTTTGATTTAATAGTTTTTCTTAGCGGGCAAGCGATATCTAGCGCCTTCTTTATGACCTTATAAATGGACTCAGTGCATAGCTCAATGTTATTGACACAGGAAGATATTGTGCCTAAAAACTTTCCCAGTTAGCTGTTTTCAGGTTTCTTGATTGTTCAGCCGTTGGTATGTATTTGACAAAATTGAAAATTATATACCTATGATCAGACATTGATGGCCGAAGATCTACATGCCATCTTTTGATGTCCAACTTTACACTGTATTTATGAAACAATATATTTTATTAGCAATTTTTTCTTCGTATTTTGACGGCTCTAGTTAACAAAAGTCCTTAAATTCAATGGATAACAACAATAAATTCAAGCCATACATCCAAAAATTGCGCTCACCTCATATTTCATTTGTCAATATTAAAATATATTAAATGTCATTGGTTTTAGTTAGTATCTCAGTTAACATATGAGTTGTAATAATAATTCATTTTTTCTGTCTTTTTTCAAGAGTTTTTCATCCTGCTTATATATATATATATGACGTCCTCAATCAGTTCAAGGCTAAATTGAAACCCTGCAAAATTAGGAAATGCTGATTTAAACTTGTATAAGAAGTTGTTCATTGACTCTAAATCAATCTAATAGATGTACATATTATGTGTACTTGTATAAATATAAGCATATTTCATGTAACTTACGAAGGTAAAACAAAATATAGATAAAATGTTGTCCATCATTTCTTACAAATTTACTACGTATATATATATTTTTTTTTTCTTGGCCAACAGGGTAACTACTATATTTCATAGTGAGACAAAAATTTAAATAAAAAAGACAACAAAATATACAAGTGCAACAATTAAAAAATACGTTGCAGAATACTAGTAAAAATAATTAAAAGATTGTAAAACTTTGGTATATAACTTAAAAATAGGTAAATCGATGCTACGTCAGGGTCCTCCGACGATCTCTTCGCATATATAATTTGTTGTACTTTTGTGATGATGGCGTTGACTTGGATTCTTCTTCTCCGCGGTAGGAGGCTAAAAAGTCTTCCTTCCGATCTCTGCTCCGAATTTCTCCTTGAGAGTTTCTGAGACAGAGTTAAGGATCTCTCGGAGCGAAGTGCAACTCCAAAAGATGTGATCTGTCGTTTCGGGGCCTTCCTTGCAAAAGCGACACATACTCCTCTGCCCTTGGAAAACTTGTCTCTCACCTCCAGAGTTCCCGAAAGGAGACGATATTTCAACCATTTTTCCGGAGCGGAAAGATACGTGTTTTTAACCGCTTTGATACATCTTGTGCCTCTCTTTGGATACTTCTTCTATTTAAGTAATTTTTAAATGGGCTCATGCATCTGTGTAAAGCTTTTCTTATGTCAGGCAGTAGAAGCAGTTGATACTTTCATTTTGAATGGTATAAGGGTCTCTGGATAATTTTATTTTGCCGAGGATCGTTTTAAATCTGTTATCCGCCATCTTGTCGATAAGTGAGGGTGACCAACACAGATCAGCTGTATGTCGCCAGATACTGTGTGTATATCAGGGAGACAAATACGCTGGGTTACAGGAATTTCCCATCCCAAGGAAAGTTCATACTTTGCTGCAACTTCTTGGATGCCTCCCATATTTTATTCATCCTAGGTGAGTAAAGGGAAAGACATTTAAGGACCTTTTTAAAACTTGCACAAGGATACTCGTTGGGAAAAAAATCCTTTCTTTTAGAAATTTCTCCAAAATTAGGACCCAGGGGTTTCTTTCGAAATTTCCAAAATTAGACCAGGGTTCCCGTGACAACCATATTTCCTTATCCAATAAAAGTTTTGAACTTTCCACATTCGAGGACTCACACATTACAGACAGGCCATCCTGTTAAATTTACTACGTATATGATCTGAAAGAATATATGAACCTTCTAATTAAATTGTCAGCTAATCTTTGATATTAAAATGTCATTTTAATTTCCAAATATTACACCAAAGAACAAAAAAAGTGAAAATTCTTTAGGTTCTTTATATTTTATTAGATTTTAAGAATGAAAAAGTAGTATACCTTTCATGCCACTAATCTTTACTTAAGAAGTGACTCTGATTTTTTATAAAGTGTCTTTTCCTACATGAGAAAGCTGCAGATATATTATTTGATAATTACTGAAACTATACAACAGCGTTGAGACTATCAGGGATATGCTAATGATAAGTGCAATATGGTTGATAGTTATGTGGTTTATAAATTATTTGTAAAAAAAGTTTTTTTATTAATCAAGTATGATTTATATGTCCGGTGGGGGAAAAAATTATAAGAAATGTATATAGTATTATAACGTTCCAAGGATTGTCTTATTTCTATATTTATATTCTTGATAATTCCTTCCAAATTGAAACATGTCTTTGGCAAGAAGAACTTCAGGTGTCAACCGCTGGGTGAGCAGGAGATGATCTTGATGCCTCTTCCTCATCAATTTGGGACTCATAAAGCAATTTGTGAAGGCACGAGTTCGCACCTTTCAAACATATGGAGGCGGTATTTCTGAGTATGTCGGAGGCCAAATAAAGGCACAGCAGTTTTGCTGTATTTCAAAAAAATAAAGGAAGACCCAAAATTCTCTAAAAAGTTCTGTCCACCGGATAAACGTACTTGGCGAAGTTTTTGTCGCAGTTGTTCAGGGCTTCTTGAGTAAAAACTATTCCGAACTGGTCGACGATCTTCTGAAGTCCCTCAAGAATCTAGAATCTTTTGGATTTCTGTATATTTAATATGGAAGACTACTCAGAAGAGCATGGAGAGCAATTCCATCAAAATATATGATGAAATTTATGCTACCAGGGACAGTATAAAGAATCTATGATTGGGTCTATTACAAATGACAAATTTTAATGAATTAATGAACCAAATTAATTATGAAGAAATGTTTGTTGATTATAGACTATATAGATTATAGTCAAATTGAATGTAACATTTGTCAGCTGACTAGGAAACAAACTGAAAACATATTTTCTATTTTTATGTTGTTGATGTTCACTTGAAAGCTTTTAGTTTCAGCTATACATCAATTGAAGTTTTTACGTCGAGGCCTTTTACATAAATGAATGTATAATATTAACCCTACTATGATCAGTATATATGAAGAAGTTAATTAATTGATATTTTTTGACCTTTTTCTAAGTCTATGGTTATATTTTTATTTGAAAATTAATAGCAGTATTTGAGAAAAATCTTCATATAAAAATATTATTTTTAGAATTGTATGTATATCTATTAGAAAAACAAGTGTTTCGCCTATCTTCAGGATTATTAGAGCTTAATATAGTTTTCAAGTCTCAGAATGACGTCAATTGTTGCTGATGTTGATTGAGAAAGTAGAACTACTTTAATATAAAATATATGATAAATCATATCACTATATGACTGAGATATTTCCACACAATATTAGCTTATCTTGGCAAAATAATACAGTGAACTCTCTTAATCGATTTATGTTTAAAGTAATGATGTCTAATAGATTTATATACAGATTTAAAAGGTTGTTCACATAAGTTATTAAGTAAAAAGTTGGATCAAAGAAGGCTTTAATAGTCAGATTTTTGTCTGTGATGTTAATCTAACATTATTAAAGAAGTGGAATCTTTAATATTTGGGGAGTTTGATCTTCCCCTGACGAAAAATGAATGGCTGTGCATCTGAAGAGTCAAAGCACTTTCCAGGCGGACGCCGTCCTCACTAATGTCATATGTATAGTTTACTCTGCGAGGAGGAGGAACCGTCCACTGTACAAATATGACTTGAGTCCTCAGAAGAGCGACTAAGCCCATCTTCCAAAGTTAATTGTACTTTGCAATTTTTTATTTGTTTAAATTATTATATTATAATAGACTGTGTTTTGATAGCTACCAGCGTTTGAAATTCATTCGCACTGTTTCTTCTCTAGGATGAAGATTCAACGTATCAAAGTTTTTTCAATCCTAATTTCTAGAATCGTCCATCTACTCTTATCGTATCTTTGGCTACTATATAAACACAAATAAACAGTACTTTTTTTAGACCCTTTGATAAAATTGCAAGGGCAACTACGTCGTAATATTAAAATTACCTAAGCCCATCTCGATCTCAATTAACTTGTACTAATTTATTTTCTAAAAAAAAGTTTTCAAGGATGCGTTTACTATATTACTTTATGGGATGTCGAATAGATTTATTGTCGAATATTAAGTGAGTCAAGTTATATGTAGAGTGAGTGACATAAATACAAGAAATATCAGGCTTACAAAACCGGACGTCAATTATGACCGGAAACCTCACACAGTGCATTCATTAAACTTATACTTTTGTAGCATATTTTAACACAATACAAACATGAAATGAATTCCATAAAAACTTATTTTTGTATAATTTACATTCATATTTTATACTAGTACAAAGGATATTCTACCTCATTTGTTCCCAATAGAATTAGTAAATTAAAAGACAATAAAAAATCTTTAAAAAAATTCAATTAAGTAGAACTGCATCCATATTATATTTAATCCTTCAGATGTAATTTTAATTAATATATAAATATAATTTATGATACCTAATTAACATTCAATAGATAAAATCGCATTGATATTGAGAATATGAGAGACAATCGAATGGCCAAAAAATACTATATACATGCTTATGGGTCCGTTGAGAAGCACCTTAACGTATTTCGATTTGGATCAAACTTTCACACGAGGATCACACTGCACTAAGTGGTGCCCAACTCTCAAATCGGAAAAACGCAAAATAAGAATAAACCTTATGCCCATGAAGTATGCGTTGAAAAATAAATAATCAACACTCTTAAAAGATAAGTAATAAGTTTATATATACAAAGTATCACGAGGAAGAGAAAAACGAATGATTTTTATTTTATTTTTGATTATTCAAATTCAAAACATTAATATTCTTATTTGTTATCTGTATATATATCGCGCGCCGTTGGTGTAGTGGTATCATGTAAGATTCCCATTCTGACGTCCCGGATTCATTCCCGGACGGCGCAAAGTTTTTCTTTCTTGCAGCATAAAAACAAGGATATAATAATTAAATAAATATAAAGAAACACGATCATTCCTATTCACGAACATATTTCATTGAAATTTCTTATATTTTCGTCTCATTTATTTGCAATGTACTAATTGATTTAAATACATGAAAATACCACCAGAGACCACTCGTAAAACTCTTTTTTGCATTTGATTCGGTCCCATATACAAACATTTATTTTTATAAGTTTACCTTTTTAAATAATAAGAAAAATATGTCTTATAAATATTTATAACAAATGAAGGTTACTTGATATTTAAATAATGTTGTAAATATACATCGGTAATTTTTTAATGGACAGGCAAAATGAATAATAAAACTCACAGCACAAACAGAAGGAAGATATATAAGTGATATTAGCAATTAACGCCTTACTGTTTTATGGACCAGCTGTTTTTTTCTAATTCAATATTTATGTGATCCATAATCTTTGACTCCGATTTTGTAGGGGCATATTAATTTACCATTTATTTTGACATTTTTGGCAAAATATGTAACTTTGAAAGAGATAGAAACGAATAATTTGAAAATAAAAATAATAATATGAATTTCAATATTTTTATAAAATTACAAACGAAGTATTAATTTAAGAGAAAAATGAAGCAGTAAACTACAGCTTAATAGATTCCCTTATTGAACTTATATGTACAGCAAAATGTAAATAATGCGAAAGACGATAATTCTGTTGCGCCTTGAGTTAATAATACTCATAATCCTGAATTATGATGAAGCAATATAAACCCTTGGGGGATTAAAGTAGTGTTCATTTTGTTTTGAAGTACATGTTAGCAAAAAGGATTAGATAGTTTCATGTTCATAAAGAATTTGATAGCTTCCGTTTTATTTTTAGAAAAAAATGAAAAAAATACCTGAAAAAATACGCAGACACTATAATATGTTAGCAATTGATTTGATTCAGTATAGTAATCGTAATATAATGTTCCATTGAGGTAATAATACATTCTTGATTACATCATTGATGACTTCATTGGTTATATTGGCATGCAGGAATAGGATGGTAGACATAAGTACTTGATTGTATAAGTTTGACAATGATTTTAAATTTCTTTCTGATTGGTTAAAGTAAACGTTCTGCTTAAGTACTTTAAGACTATGTATTTTCTTTGTTTTCCGTCATCGACAAGGTTTTTATTAAAACAAATTATACGTACAAATATAATAAAATAGTACATGATATGTATTGTATAAAGGGAATATTAGATTTTATAAAAAAATAAAAAACATTTCATCTAAAAATTAATTCCTTTTTTGAGTCCTAAAACTTCAAAATCATATTATTCATCTAAAAAACATAACTACCAAAAATAACAAATGCAATTAATTTAACAGACATAAATTTTTTCCTTTACAGTAATGTAAAAAGGTAAGAAGAAGAAATTAAATCGTCTTTGGAATCTTGTATTGCTTGTATTGTTTTATGTTTAAACTGGAGAAATTTGGCGTAGATTGGCAAGAGACGTGGCACATATTTCGTTACTGAAGCTACAGGGGTCCATTCTTGGCTGTTTATTTTTGGGATTTTCAAAAACAATGGCAACTTTGTGATTGTATGACATGTATACACTTACGAGCAAACATCAATATTTTTTTCCCCCATTGGACTATTTTATTGGAACCAATTGTGCATTAAGAGTCGCTGCAAACCTGTACAGGACTTCTCATTCCTTATCAAAAGAATATAATGACATGTTTATTACTTATTAATATTCTAAAGTCTATTGATTTATTACCTAAAATAAATATAATTAAAAAATAAGCTCTTAAAAATTATATTCTTGACAACCATAGCATTAAAATTTTAAGATGTAGAATATAAAATTAATTTAAAGTTTTTGAAGAATGACCAGAATTTGAGCAAAACTACAGCTTAGTTTTAGACTTTACTTCTACATATTTATAAACATCCATAGCCAAGGGATACTTTATACCCAACCTGACATAGAAAGAGAAAAACAGCTGTCGATTAAAAAACATAGAGACATATTTCTTGCAACTCTCTGGCATTTCTTTGGTTATAGTATAAATTTAATCACAAACCTCTCCCTTTTTTCTATTATTAATAAGGTGTTGGTTATATTAGACGGCTTAAGTTCTTCTATTCTGGAGAAGGAACTTTGATACGGAGTTCCTTCCTGTGTTCGGAGTTACTAATTCCACAAGACTCGTGGACGAGAGGAACAAACATGTCCATTTTATACTTATCCACTTTTAAAGAAAAATAAAGCAAATGTTGTTGGTTGTTTTTAATATTGCATAAAATAAACAGATTGAGTTCATATTCTTCATATCAAGGTTTTCTCCTCAAGAATATAATAATAATAGCAACATTCTTATTAATAATAGAAAAAAATAGAGAGCTGTGTAATAATTGATACTATAATAAAAGAGATGCCAGAGAGATACAAGAAAGATGCTTCTATATTTTCTAATCGACAGCTGTTTTTATCTTTCTATGTAAGGTCGGCTATAAAGTAATCCCTTGCCCATCCATAAATGTGACCATTATTACAAAAAATTATTAGCAATATATATGTTCACAAATAGGCAAAATAACCTATTTTGTTGTCAAATCTCGAGTCGAATTCTGATTGAAGGACCCAAGTGTCATAATGGACCAATAAAGCTGGCTATAATACCTCGCTTATAACAAATATATATATTTGGACAATTTTGAGTCATTAGGTACATGATGAATACAGCATGATAATGTTTAATAAAGACAAATCAGTCAATGCCATCACAATACAATGACCCTCTTGGAACCTCATGCATTTAAATCAAATTTAACAAACGTATGACTCATAGACCCAATTGTTATTTTGAAGAAGTGTTTGTTTTTGTTTATATCCATACATAACTAGAGGCTATATACAATCAGAGAGTGTGTACCTCCACCGATCCCCACAACATTCCCATTCAAACATTCTCCCTTCACACGCCCGATTTTCTATCTTAATCATTGTTTCCCGTGTCAGGCGTACTCGACGGGCACGCCTTTGCATTTTCCGCATTTGCAGCTAGCGTTCCTGCATTGAACTCTTTTGAGGCAGAGGTATTCTTGTAGGCGGCGTTTTCGCCTGGGATTGTACTTAGGAAGGATTTTCTACCATGGTAGGTTAATTTTTATTTATTCTATCTTGCCATAAAAGTTCGAGTCGGGTTAACTTGACTTTACGATATTTTTTTCTTAAATGGCCTCATTTCATAGTATTTATATCCGTTACTTGAACGAATTTGGTGACTTTAAATTTAAAAATATTAGGTCAATGAAATATTTACGTCATCTTTTGTTGGTAAGAGAGTATTTCTATTCAATACGATAACAAAATTATTCATCTCAAGTGTAAGTCTTCAATGTCTTAAATTTTAACTCAAAACAGGACATGTGTTCCATTGATATCACAGTCCCATAACCACTATGATAACACAAAGACCGTGGGTATCCTGTCACCAATCGAGAAGGGGTGGGGAGTTTTTACAATATATGAATGAATTAGTAAATTGAAGTGATCAAATATTGAAAAAGGTATGACCTCCTATGTAGGTGTGGAGAATATTCTTATTGGTTTTTTGTTTGTTTTTAATCAATTGTTTTTCAATCTCTCATTTCAAAGGTCAAATGTCAGTTGTTTTATTTAATTTCTCAGTTACCAAAAACCTACTTGGTATCATTAAATTGCTCAGATACACAATCAAAAGGAGTAATTATAAACTTTATCTTCATATTAGCAAAAGTAATCATAATATAATGTTTTTGAAACTCTTTAATTATCGAAACATAATTGATCAATCACTCAACCTTTTGATTTATTAGAACTGACTCGAACTGTATCATTAAACAATGAAGTAAAGATAATTAACCTTCTTGGTAGAAAATCCTTCTTAGGTAAAATCCCAGGCGAAACCGCCGCAGACAAGAACCTGATGCAAAAGAGCTCAATGCAGGAGCGCTAACGCAAATACGGAAAATGCAAAGGCGTGCCCGTTGAGTACGCCTAGAACCATTGTTTCC